CCATTCCAAAAGATGCGTTCCAGCAGTGTTTCCAGCAATGGCAGAAACGCTGGGAGAAGTGTATACATTACCAAGGAGACTACTTTGAAGGGGATTAGGGTTTTGTTCCTCAAAGTCAATAAATTTATTTTTGCCGACCAAAGGTCCGATACTTTTTGAACAGACCTTGTATATTTAACATAAAATGGCAAAAAGTTTTCCATAACAATATCTCAATAAAATTGTGTCTAGAACCATTTGTTATAAGTTAACTTTTATAATTTTAATTACAATATATTTTCTAAATAAGATCTCATAATAGCTGAGAAAGTTATGCAACTCATTGCTGGATTTTTTTGTAATGCAAGTGCAGAAGTTTACAACAAGACAATAAACAATTTATAACGGGGATTCCTGTGCAAATAAAAACAAAAGCAACCTAATTCAATCATAGCATCTTCAAATCGAATCAGTTTCCATCCCATTTTCTTTTTTATATGTGATAACTCAGAAGGAAGACTTCCAGATGTAAGAACGCTCAGTTTCACTTGGGGTAAACTTAATTTCAAAGTGTTAAAGTAATAACGGCGTGTACATGTTGACGACATTAATGCCCTGGGGGAAAATACATACGTCAATCCAAATACAAAATCATGCCTTTAGGGAAAATTACAAATGCTAAACTTAAAATTATACCTTTGAGGAAGAGTATCATTTTCATCCATTTTTTCTAATTCTGCATCCGACTGATTAAAACCGGCAAACAGGAGAAGTTTAAATAGAAGTTTTTCTTCTGCTTGCACTGTTAAGTTTTTAATTGTGATAATTAGATGCTGAAATATAAAAAATTTAAATGTTAGCATATAATCCATATTATAAAATTGTTTTATAAACCGATGATTAAATGTTATTCAGAGCATATTAATTTTTACTATTACCACATTTCTTAGTAAATTGTTTTTGAATTGCAGTTTTTAAATGGAAAACACAAATATATTAAAATTTATTCCACAAACATTCCTTTGTATATTTGTTGGACAATTTAACACACTGTTTGAAGTGACTTCTATTAAGCTAATTTATATTTATGAATCTTGCTTCCATGTGGTTCTGTGAGGTATGTATCGCAATCAAAATTATTTCCCATTTCCTCAATCACTGATGTAATATAAACGATAGCAAGTAATTACTCAGTTTTGAGAAATTCTAAATAGAACTAAATCAACTTATTTGTGATATATCAAAAATAGAGCTATGGTTTGTTCCATAGATTATTGCTGCTGGTCACCAGGGTCAACTTTAAGAATGAATTTATCAAAGTTAACTTCTATTTTTGCAGTTGAAATCTATACATCACTATCAGCATTTAATACAAAACAAACTTTGATGTGATTTATAACTTATATTGGTATCTTTATGAAAAGAATTTTAAAATTAATCTTGTATCTTTATGAATTTATATTTTCACTTCTATTCTTGTATAATCAAATTAAAAATACAAGGTAATGAATACTGATTATAAACCTATTTTAATTTTAGTATTTTAAGAAATGTAAAAAAACTTCTAGTCAATCTAAATAAAAATATCTTTGAAAATAAAATTGTATTTCAAATAACTGAAATACAAAGATATTTTTATTGCTAGTTAATACTGAAAGAGTGATGGCCAAGCAGGTAGCGTGACAACCTACCACTCGGGACCCAGGATTGAATTCAAATGGGTAAAAACCCCAGGAATTTTTCAGGAAATGGCTCATCTGGGTACGTCTAGCCCCATCCCTCATCATCTTGATGCTCCATTGTGGACTTACTTGAATCCAAAATGGGTTTGCTCTTAGTGACAACAGGTTAGTGTTAATTTTTTTAAAATTAATTACGTAAATAATTTTTATATTTTGGTAATGAAAATACATTGGCATTCTTACCTGGAAAAATTTTTAGTAGTCCATAAATAAATTTACCATTTACAAAACTTTTGTTAATGGTAACAAACTATACTCACAGTAAAATATTAAATAGGATACTAATCCTTAGTCCATTTATCTTTATTACAGTGATTAGTATTATTTTAAAATATTTATTTTACTGGTCAAAGGAAATATTCAGCAAGTCAACTGGACGACTAAAACCAACTTGGAGAAAACACTGCGCAGCTTACAATCTATGCATTGTTGTGAAATACCAGTAGTTCAGCTTATGTAAAACGTATGATTATTCAAAAACTTATAATGATGTCATCTAAGTTTTCTATTTAATCTTTGATTTGTAGATCTAAAATTATTATTACATTTACATTGTCCAATGTCAATAAACCTAATCTGGTGACAACTAAGATATATCTTATCAAAATAACACAGTGATATTGATACGGAACAAAACTGTAAAGTTTTATGTTTGTGAAAAAAAAATTTTTTCCATATTTAAAATTTACTGGCAAATTGCTTATTTAATTACAGCTAGTAGGCTTTGTTTGAAAGCCTTAATCATGATATCTCCATAGACTCTTCACAATCATTTCAAAAAGCAGAGTCAAATTTTTAAAATTTTTACTTTATTCTGTGTTTCTCATTTGTTCGGTTTTATGCAGAAAAATTATTTGAATACATCTTGTTTTAAACAAGTCCAAAAGATATCTATTGAACAAAGTTAGGGTATATTTGGCAGAATTTCATGTTTTTTGATATACAGTGGTGCCTCGTATAATGTACGCCNTCATGCCTCGAATAGTGGACGCTGCGAACAACGGACTTTCTGTTTGGCCGTTACATGACTCGAGCAACGGACTTTCTGCGAACAAGTGCGAATGATGTTTCCACTCTTTTGCCATTGCCAATGACAATCTGCTATTTTTATAATATATTAGTATTATTAGAATATATTATTAGTATATCTGAAGTACAGAGCTCCCATTGGGATTCGGCTTGCTCCCTTGTTTATTACGTACATCACCTCAGTGCAGGGGTATTTACATTTATTCAAGTGTTGTGCAAATCATGGCTTCTAAAAAAACAGAAAGGTGATTTCAATTGAAACAAAGCAAGAAATCATCAGGAGTGAAAGTTGACAAAAACTTCCTTGTCGAATGGGGAGAGGTTCAGGAGTTTACCAACACTCATTATCCAAACAAAGCTGAGGCCAGCAGGATCAATGATCTCTACAATGACACCCTTGCCCGTCATTTCCAACAGGTGTTAAAGAAGAGAGAGAAACAGACCACCTTGGACATGTTTCTCAAGAAGCCATCTGCCAAAAAAACAAAGGATGGAACAAGAGAAGTTGACCCTGCAAACACCGGTAGCTTCTCCTGAATCTGACTCTGATTAAAAAACAATAAAAAGAGACCTGCTGCAATGTGTAAAAAGTCTGTATCTGTATGAATGTGTGAAGTAAGTGTTCCTCCACCTCCTCCTCACATCTGATTACCCGGCATAATTGGTGGCTGTTCCATTTTCATTTTTTTCATGGTACATTACGGTTATTTTATGCTGTGGAATGAATTATATGTTTTAATATGTATTTCTATGGGAAAATGCATTTCGTATAACGGACTTTTCACTTAACGGACGTGCACCTGGAATGGATTAAGTACGTTATACGAGGAACCACTGTAATTAATTTCCACACTTTCAAGTATTTGCAAGATTTACTTGGATAAAGTTGAATTGCACTGTTTGGTCAAATCACACAATGCTGTTTGAGATAAAACTGCTTTTTCTTTGGACAATTCCCAAGTGTTTCATTTTAATACTGACATATCTTCATGATATATCTAATTCTTTTGGTCAACTTGGCTTGGGTGTCATCATAATTTTCTGCAAATTTTTGAATATTGCCAAATGTTTTGAATTTAATTTTGACTGCTTAGAATAAGTCCCCAAGCAACTATCTTTCTGGACCAACATTATTTTTTTTAAAACTTCTAGCACATCTGTAGACTATTGATTCATTGATACGAAATCATTTTAATTTATTTGTAAGTAGACATATCTGAGCAATCTTCTAAAAACTTGATTACAATTTTTCTAATGATACTTTCATTAATTATAAGCATTATTTAATTAATGTAACTAAGACATCAATTATCTATCTAATATAATGGTTATAAAATTTCCTAATGATTTTTTTAAGTCATTAATTTTGAATCCTTTTATTTTATTGGTTAGTTATTTTACTGTCAGTGTTTTATCCCTATTAACACATTACTCATTTGTTTCCTTGTTCATTTTATGTTTTAGCATATGTATGTACATATTTTAGAGAAACTGCATGTATATATTTTACTACTATTTCTCTTAGTTCTAATGTTGACGTCTTAAATGCAGCTCTTGAAATACTTCTAGTTAGTCACCCAATTTATAAGAATGATTAAGATTAAAGCAATAATACATTAATTTGTTGGTAATTGAAGATGGAATGTAAATAAACATTCAAATGAGAAAATGTGGGAGAATCATTCTTTGTATTAGAATAGATTAAAATGAATTGTTTAATGTACAAACCTTAAAAATTTCTGCATTGATATGTGTCGTGAACACTTTGTTAGCTGTAAAATGAATGGCAGGCAAGTGCCGCTGCTGATCTTTCTTGCTCGGTGGCGTAACAAAAAGTAATGTGGGTTTTTCTGCATCACGCAATTGATTGTCGACTTGGATATTTTGTATGCTCCCATCAACAGAATGGCCATCGTGAGTCCTGTTATATTCAACCATGATGTTTTGTAAACATATATAAATTAACTCTTCGCTGAGATGATTGATTAACGAAATTCCAAAACCTCCTGACAAATGAGAGTATATCTGAAAAAGTAATTAAGTAATTTACGTGCATTTAAGTGTGGAAATTATTTTATTTGATTATTACAAAAGTGAATTATTTTAAAGTTACTAGTTTTACTTACATGAACAGCATAAGTTTCTTCAATTTTTGAAAAAGTTTGTTTGTGCAAACTGTTTTTAGCAACCGCCAATTTAGTTTTTAATTTTTTTTGTTCCTCGACAACAACCCAATCAGTTGAAGAATTTGTCATGGATACCAACTGCTAAAAATTTTATATTAATAATTAATAAAGTATGAAGTTTTTATAAATAATTATTTTTATAACTATACTAAACTACCTTTTGTCTGAAGTCATATATCTGAAGAACTCTCGTTGGTCCATCAGGAATCACTTTAACAGCCAGCACTCCAGATCCACCTCTGAGTTTCTGTGGAACAATGGCTTGTTCGAGAGGAATATCATTTGGTGTTGTCATGTATATAACAGGTTGATTAGGTCCAAGTACTGCTTCTTGTCCTTTATGAATGCCTCTTTAAGTTAGAATTTTTTAAAATAATGTTCTTTTTACAAACAAATATCAATTACCTGCTTTTAAGCCAGAAAATCCATCTTTAGGTTGAACAAATAGATTTGGATGATCGCAGCAAAGTCTGCCATCTTCGGTAAAATGCCACGTCTGCGTTAAACTTCTTCGTTCGTCGGGTTTTCGTAACATTAGAGGGACAAATATACCCGGTAAAGGACTTAGTCCTGCTATATCCAAAACCAAAGTGCGTTCTAAATCCTTTTGGCTTACTTTTCTACGTGGATCTTGAGGTGGACTCGAGCCTTCGTGATGCAATAAACCAGTGCTTCCCATTCTCCAAAGTTGGCTCCTCTTTCCCTGTTCCTTTATTACAAATTGAAATGATAATACTATGTTTACATATAACATAACATATATAAATATTGTTAACAAATCTATAGAATTAGCAATCACTACAAATATGAATTTTATTTTCCCAGCTGTTATAGAATATAACATACCAAAAGTATGATAATTGGTAAAATTTTGACCCCTGCTTTTGCATTTTTCAATGTTGTCACACACTAAGAGCCAAAAACATACGCACAATTTTCTAAGAGTTTTTTTGTGTGTTGGCATAATTTTGCATTATATCTCTAGACTGGTTGAACTAAAACTTTTGAAACTTGGCAGTTATATTTCTATATATGGGGCATTGTTGCTTTTAAATTTTGATAGTTAAAGGTCAAACAGATGGAGGAGATTGAAGAAGGTCATGTATCATATCTCAAATGGAGTCAGACTTAATAAAAGCTTTACTCATTATTTACAATTTCTTTAAAAACTCACTCCTACCCAAAAATAAGCCTTTTGCCTTTTTACAGATACAAGATTTCATTAAAAAATAATTTTTATAACTGAAAACACCACATACAAGTTTTAACTTGTAAATTATGAGTGACAGAAAAGTTGTGCAAGTCCTTGCCAGCTTTTATTTCATAAGAATTTTTACATATCTGTATATTTGCATAAATATATATGCATGCACATAAATATGAAATATCCCAAGGGCATGCATTATCCCAGTGTTTCTCAAACTTTTATTAAGTGGGTCTGCCAGAAAATATACTTTTGGTGGTTTGCAAAAGTTGAGTTAAATTATTATGTTTTTAATATATATTTTAAATGTTTCTTAAAACAATGCCTTTATGTTTTGAATTTAATTAAATTAAAATTTTTAAAAGATATAAAATTACGTCAAAAGTAAATATTATGAGAATCAACTTTTTCCTATTCCACAATAAACTGTATTTTCGCAGAATGACTGGCATGCCACATAGTTGCAGTTTAACCGGCATGCCGGTAACCCATTTATAATATATAAAATTAATAAGATCTAGCAAAACTACTTATTAATTAAATGTTAGAGAAAACATTCTTCCAAGTACAATAAAATAACAACATTGTAATTTGACTAACTTAAAATCAGGAAGAGAATTTTTGTTTAAAGATAATAAAACAATTAACAACTTATCGATAGTAGTAGTAGTAGTAGTATTAGTAGTTAGTCATTGTGGGCCACACTGACCATCTACACTGACTTAAAAATAGCACCTTCCTCTCAAATTTCACACAAAACAGATTAATCACAAAACAGACAATCCATGAAAAGACAGTAATATGCTTCTTTTTAGTACTCAGGGCTCCCACCAACATATTTGCAGATCTCCTGGGGTCCAAGATTGAGAAACACTGAGTTACCCATTAATCCTGGTACAAAAGTTTGTGGTCAGCACTTATCATAAGCAATCTGTGATGCAATTTAAGTTCTCAAACATTAATTAATGATGTAACATGTCACAGCTTAGCATCATAAAAATCCTGCATTGCCCACAATGACAAGAAAAAAGTTAGAACAATGATCCATTCCAAGACCTGCAGACCACCAGACATCACATTCGTTGACAATCGAAACAAAACACATCCATCACAGACACAGCTGTACCAAGCACTCACAAAACATACACAGAAAAACTTGGTAAATACTCAGAAGTCACCTACAAAATGAAGTGTTTGTGGTGAACGGATAAGATATTTATTGTGCCTAAAATCCTTTCTTACAGGCATCATACTGAATATACTACACAAAAGTCTTGAACCATTAGGGCTTTACAACAGCATATATACTACACTACAGAAAGCTGCATACTAAACACATACTGCATCATATAGTTAGAAAATTCTTAGATACAGCTATAAACTTAAACAACATGTAAACAAACATTTATTTTCTACAGCTGTCTCTACTTTGGTCTGACATAGCATTTAGGCATTGGTATATAAGTCAAGTAGGATACACTGCACCAACATAATAATTAATTACACAGATAAAAAAATTATAAAAGGAACTGAATTGTTTCTTATAATTTTTCAAAATTTTTTTTAAAAGTAAACAAATAATTTTCAAATGAACTGTTATAATTGAAAACACATCTTGCTTACTTTCCCAGCAGAACTGTATATATAAATAAATGCTTACTGGAATTAATTATATACAATAAACAAACACCTTTCTCTATTCCAGCACGTTTAATGCATTAAAAAACTGTATACATTACAAATGTTTTTGGCTTTTTTGAAAAGCCTGCTTCAGGCATCTTGCATGAACTTCACTCTAGTTTTGAATCTTGAATTTTCAGAGGAGATTCTATTTTGAATTGTTTTGAAAACTCTTAAATGTGGGAATATTTTTAAACAGGAGAGTACAACACATGCTGACTTATATCCAAAAACTTAAATGAAAAACTTATGTTATTAGTTTAAATAAACAATGTGCACCAGGCTAAAAAGGAGACAGCCAAACATTTGGGTCTCTGATTTGAATGAAACTTAGCAAACTCAAACCTACATCATGTAGTTCCTGGCCTAGCATCTTATCCAATTGGCTATCAAAGTTATATGAAAAAATGAAACTTCCAAAGACTCTTTAGCTAAATGCTCAATTTTCAGGGTTCCATTTTTCAGAAAACACTTGAGAAATAGGTCCTAATATTTGCATAAGAAGCTGTTTGTGTTTAGGGCTATGTGCTTGCCAAGATGTTCAGGTCTCTGAACATCTTGGCAAAAAGACAGCCAAGAAGACTCTTAGCTATCTTCTTGTAAGTTGTCTTTTCCTGTTGGGTGTTGTTCTTGCTCTTTGTTTTTAGAGGGTTATCATATAAAGACTGCCAAGTCATAGATAATGTAGCATAGTCCTTATGATTAATGCATTCATTCTTCATACTCATTTTAAAAATCTCCAAAAGCTCTAATGTTCTCAGAGAGTGTGCTTCAAAAGCTGCTTTTATGAGAGTTGTGTTGTCAAACTCCATTGACTTATTTAAATACCTCACTTATCAAAACCAACATCTTAAGTTTCTCATTTAAATTTTTTGGATATAAGTCTGAGCATGCATTATACTCTCTTGTTTAAAACATCATTACCATTGTTACATATAAGTTTTCAAAACATTCCAAAATAGAATCTCATCTGAAAATTCAAAAATACAACGAAGTTCATAAGAGAACAACCTGAAGTAGGCTTATCAAAAAATCCAAAAACATTTGTAACACACACAACAGTCTGCTGGGAAAGTAAGCAAGGTGTGCTTATCATTATAATTACATTTTTCTAGTTTGATTAAGTTGTTTTTGGTATAATGAATATATGGGGTTTTGTAAAATAATTTGACCAAGCATTTTTACAAATAATTTTTGGTTTAAGAAATTTTTTAAGATATTGTCATGTGTGAGGAAACTTCTCAAGAAGAAAATCTCATAGTTAATGCAGTGCATTTCAAGTAAAAAAAAATATAAATCAATAAAAACTTACAATTATTAAACTACTTAAGGTTATATAATACAGAAACCTGCAAAAGCAAGAACCTCAGTAAGGTGGTAATTACAGTTGACCCCCTATAACACGGTAGATACATTCCGGTTTTTATGAATCCATTTTCTACGAGTCCAGCCAATCGCAGCCCGGCACGTATGCAGTTTACGGACTACGGCTGTTTCAAAGGTTTCTTCCATAAAATTAATCGATTCTAGACTAATTCGACTCAACATTTCCAAAACACATATAACTTTTTGGGAATAATCCATATAAACTATGCTATAAACAAAAAATTGTAGGATTGTGTGCACTGTTCGACTATGCCATTTGCTTAAGCTTGTTTTCGTCGTGGAACTTGTCATCAAATGGCGCTTGCATGCTTCCTGATAAATTATTTTTTTTTGCAAAAAATTCACTGAACTTTGGAGACATCATTAATATAAATATAATTTTTATGGACGTTAAATAACAAATGGTTTTTAGTAGGTCCACTGCTCGTTTAAACTCAATGGTTTGTGCAATATCTGTAATTGGTCTAGATTCGACCAATCCTATCGTGACATGAGTTGGTGATGACATTTTACCAAATTATAGGAGTTTTTTAGCATGTTTGTATGAATACTGTCGCAATTTTTTCGCCGTGATATAGGAATCCGAACTATAGGAACCCGTGTTATAGGGGGTCAACTGTACAAATATTTTTCAGTAAAATGATTACATTAACCTAACAAATGGAAAGCTGGAACTTGTGAGACACAGATAGAATGGAAGAAATTCACTACTAAAGCCCAAATAAGGGTAACCATAGAAATAAAAGCCAGAAATCATTTGTTCTGTATTTCCACATTTGTGCAGTGCTATCTATCAGGAAAAATTATTTTTCATTAGAAGGAGTTTCAAAATACATTGAAAGGCTCAGTCTTCCATTTTTGGCTTATATTTTTGTTCTTACGTATTTTTTCAACAGAAATCGATAATATAAATCTCCACAAAACTGTGACTTGCAAAGTAAGATGATGATAAAGATGTAGATCAGCTAATAGAAGATCCCAAGTTATTAGCTACGTAAAAATTTTCAGAGAATTTGGAAAAGCTAAAAAAGACCAAGAACCTTTTCATAAAGTTACAGATATAATTTCATTAGAAAACCAAACACAACTAAAGTTTTTTAATGATATTATTTTAATTAAAAAATAAACTATGCCTATTTATTTGTATGTAAAATCTTTACAATATGCAGCCATCTTTAACAAATTCAATTTGAATTAGATGAAAAAATAAGTTTTACTTTTACAATTTACTTATAAAAGAAAACGAGATATTGCTAGGGCATTTTTTATAGGCAAAAGAGAGAAATAGAAAAGTGGCAAGATTTGTTAAAGGTGGAAAACCTGCAAGACATGGAAATGCAGGATAGTTCCATTGAGTTCTGGCTTTTACAAGTTTCTACTGCATACTAAAAAAAACTTACATTAAATTTTTAACAGTCTAAAACAAAATAGAACATCGACTGAATTCTCTTAAATCTACAACAAATGATTATTATTATATTTAAAAATGATTTAGTTTACTTTTCTGCTTAAAATCACTTTTGTTGTTCCTTCTGGCACATCCAACACTAAATCTTGACACATCATCTTCTTAAAACTTTTTGTCTGAAGTGGATCTTGCTTTTCTAAACTGTAATTTTAAAAACAAAACATAAGCAATTAATTTGTCTGCAGACTGTTGAAAATTTAAAAAACACATGTATATTAAACCTTGAAAATGTGCCAGTAAATGACAAGTAAATAAAATTTCCATAAAATAATTTGTCTCCTTCGCCAAATACATTCATATTGTAAGTAGCAGTTGCTCCACCAGGTGCACAACAAGTAATCATTGGAGGAAGAGTTGGTTCATCCCAAGCATAAGGCACTTCGAATAAACATTTATAAATATAAATCAAATACATTTTTAAAAATACACACACACACACATATATATATATATGTATGTATGTATATAAAATACTAAATAACTTACCACATGAACCTGGTCTTACAGATGTTTTTAGTCTTTCATCTATAATATTTGTTTGATAATAAATTATAGGAACTTCTGAATGATTATCAATTCGTAGAGGTGATGGCATATTTTCTGCATCAGAGAAGACAATAATGTATTTAGCGCCTTGCAATATTATTTCTACTCTTAAGAAATGAGATTTCCCATGGCCATTCCTGTAAATTATTCAAATTAGCTATTTGTACTAATAAGTATGTACTACATGCATTAATAATCAAAAGTTACTATAAAATCAGCCACTTATCAATTACAGAAATAAAATATATGATAGTTAACTCATATTTTTCACTAAAGAAAGAAATTAAAACTCAAAGTAAACATATTTTTGTCCTGAAAGAAATCTAGGTACGGAATGTCTGGTATATTATGGAAGAAATCCTTCCATAATATACCAGACATTCCATTTTAGTTAATTTGATCCTAAACATTGTTAATTTTAATCACATATATTCACCACTTGATTTTGTTAATAAATAATAATAATAATTTACACTTCAGGATTTTTATTAACTACATTTATAATTTAAAATTCTAAGTCATTTACATTTAATTATGCAAAATAAATTTGTTACTTACCGCATATTAACGTGAAAAGAATTAATTTTATCTATTGAAAATCCACCCGACCACATGCAGTCTGGTACATCGGAAAGACGAACACAGAGTAAATTATCTAGATCGACACGGGGCCAGTGAAATGGCATGTGACAATTTGGAACTGCAGACATCACATATTGATGACTGAATTTTTTCTATAAAATATAAAAATTTGTAATTATATTAAATGAAATGCAAAATTCCAATTATATCAAAAATTTAGTGAAGAACATAAAAAAAGAATAAAATTAAATAAATAAATACTAAATATCAATCCTTACTAGATTTTCAACAGCAAATTTCTGAGAAAATTCCAATTTATAGCTACTTTTATTATCTAACTGATATCTTGGTGAAACTGTAACCATGTAAGTATCTCTGTAACGTCCTCTTCCCATTCTCACATCAATTCCAATTGTATAAACCCTGTTAATAATTAATTATTTTAATTTAAATAATTTGAATATAAATAAAAACAATCATTTTCTTTTTAAATAGTTACCAATCTGGTCTGGAATCTCTAGGTGTTACATGTAAATGACGAACTCTAATTCCTTTTTGTAAATTAAAACTGTTACACCATTGAGTTAGAGAATTCGGATGAAGTGATCGTCCTATTCTTATACTGCACCTGTAACAAAGTAAGCAATTTTTGTTAGAATTTATAATAAAATAATAAAATCGATGCTAAAGTCGTAACAGAAATATATACATGGCCGAGGCATCTTTATCTGCAAATGAGAACAGTAACGGCACTACACTTCTAGCCAATTCGTGTTCATCCGATTGTCCGGCAGCTTCTACTTGGGTTCCTTCTTGACGAAAAACCAATGGTAGACCAGAATTATTTATTAACCAATATGGCGATGAAATGTTTATCTAATAAAATAAAAACAATATAAAATCTCCAATTTAAGAATTTTTCTTACACATTAAATATAATAACATTTTACCTTCAAAGCACCACCATACAGAGGGATAACTCTTGCTTGCAGCATTAATAGTCGGTCTTGATTATCGTACATTAAAATTCGTGTTAAAAATTCACGAGAACAAGGCCTGACAATCAATTCATTACATTTTTGAAAATTTTCACAGGAAAATTCAAAAATCATTATTTCACTAACATCGACCTAAATTTGCAAGTAATTTGATTTAAAATACAAATTAATTTACTTAATAACTCAATTAATTTTAATAATAATTTATAATAAGTGTTATATTTAGAACTTACATTGTGTAAAGATGTATTATGACCAGGCTTGATATATCCCGATATACAAGATTCATTATCTTTCACAACAAAATGTAATTCATATGGAAGCAAATTAGTAATCTTTAGAGGAGGAAGTAAAAAAATTTTATGTCCTGGCTGATGAGATAATTGTCCCGAAGAAACAAATGACCTTTGGGAACTGTACGAAACGGTACTTTGTGGATTATCAGTCATGTAACGTTCTCGTTTTACACAAACACTGATCCTAATAACAAAAATAAATTATCATCATCATCATCATCATCAAATGAATAGATTAATTGAAGCATACCTATAATGTTTTTCATAAGAAACTGCAGATCTGCAAATATTCAATTCTCCACCAATATCTCCTGGTTTCACAATATGTTGCCAAACAATTGGATTACAACTATATACCACTGGTTTATCTACCGGTTTCAACCATATTTGGTTGTGTAAATATGGAAGTGGTACTGCTAATGTTGTATGAGACACAAGGTATAACGTTTGTTTTGGTACTAAAATAAAAGAAGAAATTATTTATATAATAATTATAATAATGTACTAAGTTTACCCAATAATTTCTGACATAATTTTAATTTTTGTTTGTTTTATTTTTTTTATACATACAGAATTGGATAATCTATTTATTTCTGGTTTAGCAAATCGATAAAATACACCAACTTGATCTACTGACACAGGTGCAAGCTGTTGCCAACCATTTATTTTTATTATCAATTGATGTTTTCTAAGTCTATGTGAATCCTAGAAAAGATAATATTTGATTATTATAAAGAAATGAAAAAAATAAAATAAAATTTTCTTAATTATTCCAATTACATTCCCCATTTTGTTTTCAAGATTATTTCTACTAAAATTCTAAGAAATGAAATAAAAATGTACTTAAAAATAAAGCTTAAGAATTGTTTTTTTTTAACCATAAAAAATCTTTTCATACTCCTAAATACATTTTAATACTGTTAAGTGCGTGCAGTTAGAAATGTGAAGAGTTTCCAGAATTTTGTTGAGTTTATAGTTTATACTCTTTCAAATCATGATTAAAAACTTTTATACCACATTTTTACTCTCATTTGGTTACACTAATGATGACAACTAGTTACATTAGTAGTTAAACTTTTATATTCATTTTTATAACTTAAAAATGAATTAAAAATTGATTAAAAGCATAAAGATTAATAGAAATTTATTTTGTCTACATGTACTGTACACATACTACATGAGTTGAGACCCAATTTCTTATCTGATGAGGTTTTCACCACAGATGTTTTTCTCAGTAATGCAAGCTATTATATTACTTTATATCAAAGTATAAAACATACAGCTACAGATATTATTCATTATAAGAACTTACACTTTTTGACAAAAAGTTATATCCCCAGATAGAACTGTCCAATTACTGTATACTGCAAAACTCAACATACAACTATGTCTCAGAAAGTTGTAAATGATTACAATTGTGGTCCAATTATATGCCAGGTAATGCCATCATAGTGGCTTAAAGTTGTTACACCAGTATCCTATAAAAAAGGCATGTAGAGGCTCACTATGTTCTGAATTTTCAGAGTAGCTGTTGTTTGTAGGTCTTCAAACACCAGACATGCTTGTATGACATAGTCATAAACATTATGTATAGCTGAAAGAGTTTGACAAAAGCCACATCATCTAACTGAGAGAAGCAGTATGGCTGTTTCAACAAATTGTCCACCACATGGGCCATTCTAACCTGACCGTGAGATGTTGTTGTGGACAATGGATATGTCAAGACACACACAGTGGGCAGGTTCTGGATGTCCCAAACAAACCAGCAGGAGAGATGATTGTCTGGTCATGATACAAGCATAAACAGCTGCAATGGCATTTTTATCTATCATTCAAAGACAAATGCAAGTCTCTCTACAGAATCCTGTCTCTTCCCATATCATTGGCAGATAATTAATGGAGGCAAATTCGCATGTATAGTAACCACTGTGCATCATGCCACTAGCACTGGGTATGTTTCCTTGCAAGCAGCTAAGTAAGCAAACTAATGATATAGATTGTTTCATATGAAATGAACTATGTCATTGGCTTGCTTACTNTTTATATTAATAATTAATAAAGTATGAAGTTTTTATAAATAATTATTTTTATAACTATACTAAACTACCTTTTGTCTGAAGTCATATATCTGAAGAACTCTCGTTGGTCCATCAGGAATCACTTTAACAGCCAGCACTCCAGATCCACCTCTGAGTTTCTGTGGAACAATGGCTTGTTCGAGAGGAATATCATTTGGTGTTGTCATGTATATAACAGGTTGATTAGGTCCAAGTACTGCTTCTTGTCCTTTATGAATGCCTCTTTAAGTTAGAATTTTTTAAAATAATGTTCTTTTTACAAACAAATATCAATTACCTGCTTTTAAGCCAGAAAATCCATCTTTAGGTTGAACAAATAGATTTGGATGATCGCAGCAAAGTCTGCCATCTTCGGTAAAATGCCACGTCTGCGTTAAACTTCTTCGTTCGTCGGGTTTTCGTAACATTAGAGGGACGAATATACCCGGTAAAGGACTTAGTCCTGCTATATCCAAAACCAAAGTGCGTTCTAAATCCTTTTGGCTTACTTTTCTACGTGGATCTTGAGGTGGACTCGAGCCTTCGTGATGCAATAAACCAGTGCTTCCCATTCTCCAAAGTTGGCTCCTCTTTCCCTGTTCCTTTATTACAAATTGAAATGATAATACTATGTTTACATATAACATAACATATATAAATATTGTTAACAAATCTATAGAATTAGCAATCACTACAAATATGAATTTTATTTTCCCAGCTGTTATAGAATATAACATACCAAAAGTATGATAATTGGTAAAATTTTGACCCCTGCTTTTGCATTTTTCAATGTTGTCACACACTAAGAGCCAAAAACATACGCACAATTTTCTAAGAGTTTTTTTGTGTGTTGGCATAATTTTGCATTATATCTCTAGACTGGTTGAACTAAAACTTTTGAAACTTGGCAGTTATATTTCTATATATGGGGCATTGTTGCTTTTAAATTTTGATAGTTAAAGGTCAAACAGATGGAGGAGATTGAAGAAGGTCATGTATCATATCTCAAATGGAGTCAGACTTAATAAAAGCTTTACTCATTATTTACAATTTCTTTAAAAACTCACTCCTACCCAAAAATAAGCCTTTTGCCTTTTTACAGATACAAGATTTCATTAAAAAATAATTTTTATAACTGAAAACACCACATACAAGTTTTAACTTGTAAATTATGAGTGACAGAAAAGTTGTGCAAGTCCTTGCCAGCTTTTATTTCATAAGAATTTTTACATATCTGTATATTTGCATAAATATATATGCATGCACATAAATATGAAATATCCCAAGGGCATGCATTATCCCAGTGTTTCTCAAACTTTTATTAAGTGGGTCTGCCAGAAAATATACTTTTGGTGGTTTGCAAAAGTTGAGTTAAATTATTATGTTTTTAATATATATTTTAAATGTTTCTTAAAACAATGCCTTTATGTTTTGAATTTAATTAAATTAAAATTTTTAAAAGATATAAAATTACGTCAAAAGTAAATATTATGAGAATCAACTTTTTCCTATTCCACAATAAACTGTATTTTCGCAGAATGACTGGCATGCCACATAGTTGCAGTTTAACCGGCATGCCGGTAACCCATTTATAATATATAAAATTAATAAGATCTAGCAAAACTACTTATTAATTAAATGTTAGAGAAAACATTCTTCCAAGTACAATAAAATAACAACATTGTAATTTGACTAACTTAAAATCAGGAAGAGAATTTTTGTTTAAAGATAATAAAACAATTAACAACTTATCGATAGTAGTAGTAGTAGTATTAGTAGTTAGTCATTGTGGGCCACACTGACCATCTACACTGACTTAAAAATAGCACCTTCCTCTCAAATTTCACACAAAACAGATTAATCACAAAACAGACAATCCATGAAAAGACAGTAATATGCTTCTTTTTAGTACTCAGGGCTCCCACCAACATATTTGCAGATCTCCTGGGGTCCAAGATTGAGAAACACTGAGTTACCCATTAATCCTGGTACAAAAGTTTGTGGTCAGCACTTATCATAAGCAATCTGTGATGCAATTTAAGTTCTCAAACATTAATTAATGATGTAACATGTCACAGCTTAGCATCATAAAAATCCTGCATTGCCCACAATGACAAGAAAAAAGTTAGAACAATGATCCATTCCAAGACCTGCAGACCACCAGACATCACATTCGTTGACAATCGAAACAAAACACATCCATCACAGACACAGCTGTACCAAGCACTCACAAAACATACACAGAAAAACTTGGTAAATACTCAGAAGTCACCTACAAAATGAAGTGTTTGTGGTGAACGGATAAGATATTTATTGTGCCTAAAATCCTTTCTTACAGGCATCATACTGAATATACTACACAAAAGTCTTGAACCATTAGGGCTTTACAACAGCATATATACTACACTACAGAAAGCTGCATACTAAACACATACTGCATCATATAGTTAGAAAATTCTTAGATACAGCTATAAACTTAAACAACATGTAAACAAACATTTTCTACAGCTGTCTCTACTTTGGTCTGACATAGCATTTAGGCATTGGTATATAAGTCAAGTAGGATACACTGCACCAACATAATAATTAATTACACAGATAAAAAAATTATAAAAGGAACTGAATTGTTTCTTATAATTTTTCAAAATTTTTTTTAAAAGTAAACAAATAATTTTCAAATGAACTGTTATAATTGAAAACACATCTTGCTTACTTTCCCAGCAGAACTGTATATATAAATAAATGCTTACTGGAATTAATTATATACAATAAACAAACACCTTTCTCTATTCCAGCACGTTTAATGCATTAAAAAACTGTATACATTACAAATGTTTTTGGCTTTTTTGAAAAGCCTGCTTCAGGCATCTTGCATGAACTTCACTCTAGTTTTGAATCTTGAATTTTCAGAGGAGATTCTATTTTGAATTGTTTTGAAAACTCTTAAATGTGGGAATGTTTTTAAACAGGAGAGTACAACACATGCTGACTTATATCCAAAAACTTAAATGAAAAACTTATGTTATTAGTTTAAATAAACAATGTGCACCAGGCTAAAAAAGAGACAGCCAAACATTTGGGTCTCTGATTTGAATGAAACTTAGCAAACTCAAACCTACATCATGTAGTTCCTGGCCTAGCATCTTATCCAATTGGCTATCAAAGTTATATGAAAAAATGAAACTTCCAAAGACTCTTTAGCTAAATGCTCAATTTTCAGGGTTCCATTTTTCAGAAAACACTTGAGAAATAGGTCCTAATATTTGCATAAGAAGCTGTTTGTGTTTAGGGCTATGTGCTTGCCAAGATGTTCAGGTCTCTGAACATCTTGGCAAAAAGACAGCCAAGAAGACTCTTAGCTATCTTCTTGTAAGTTGTCTTTTCCTGTTGGGTGTTGTTCTTGCTCTTTGTTTTTAGAGGGTTATCATATAAAGACTGCCAAGTCATAGATAATGTAGCATAGTCCTTATGATTAATGCATTCATTCTTCATACTCATTTTAAAAATCTCCAAAAGCTCTAATGTTCTCAGAGAGTGTGCTTCAAAAGCTGCTTTTATGAGAGTTGTGTTGTCAAACTCCATTGACTTATTTAAATACCTCACTTATCAAAACCAACATCTTAAGTTTCTCATTTAAATTTTTTGGATATAAGTCTGAGCATGCATTATACTCTCTTGTTTAAAACATCATTACCATTGTTACATATAAGTTTTCAAAACATTCCAAAATAGAATCTCATCTGAAAATTCAAAAATACAACGAAGTTCATAAGAGAACAACCTGAAGTAGGCTTATCAAAAAATCCAAAAACATTTGTAACACACACAACAGTCTGCTGGGAAAGTAAGCAAGGTGTGCTTATCATTATAATTACATTTTTCTAGTTTGATTAAGTTGTTTTTGGTATAATGAATATATGGGGTTTTGTAAAATAATTTGACCAAGCATTTTTACAAATAATTTTTGGTTTAAGAAATTTTTTAAGATATTGTCATGTGTGAGGAAACTTCTCAAGAAGAAAATCTCATAGTTAATGCAGTGCATTTCAAGTAAAAAAAAATATAAATCAATAAAAACTTACAATTATTAAACTACTTAAGGTTATATAATACAGAAACCTGCAAAAGCAAGAACCTCAGTAAGGTGGTAATTACAGTTGACCCCCTATAACACGGTAGATACATTCCGGTTTTTATGAATCCATTTTCTATGAGTCCAGCCAATCGCAGCCCAGCACGTATGCAGTTTACGGACTACGGCTGTTTCAAAGGTTTCTTCCATAAAATTAATCGATTCTAGACTAATTTGACTCAACATTTCCAAAACACATATAACTTTTTGGGAATAATCCATATAAACTATGCTATAAACAAAAAATTGTAGGATTAGTTACCAAGTGTGCACTGTTCGACTATGCCATTGCTTAAGCTTGTTTTCGTCGTGGAACTTGTCATCAAATGGCGCTTGCATGCTTCCTGATAAATTATTTTTTTTTTGCAAAAAATTCACTGAACTTTGGAGACATCATTAATATAAATATAATTTTTATGGACGTTAAATAATAAATGGTTTTTAGTAGGTCCACTGCTCGTTTAAACTCAATGGTTTGTGCAATATCTGTAATTGGTCTAGATTCGACCAATCCTATCGTGACATGAGTTGGCAATGACATTTTACCAAATTATAGGAGTTTTTTAGCATGTTTGTATGAATACTGTCGCAATTTTTTCGCCGTGATATAGGAATCCGAACTATAGGAACCCGTGTTATAGGGGGTCAACTGTACAAATATTTTTCAGTAAAATGATTACATTAACCTAACAAATGGAAAGCTGGAACTTGTGAGACACAGATAGAATGGAAGAAATTCACTACTAAAGCCCAAATAAGGGTAACCATAGAAATAAAAGCCAGAAATCATTTGTTCTGTATTTCCACATTTGTGCAGTGCTATCTATCAGGAAAAATTATTTTTCATTAGAAGGAGTTTCAAAATACATTGAAAGGCTCAGTCTTCCATTTTTGTCTTATATTTTTGTTCTTATGTATTTTTTCAACAGAAATCAATAATATAAACCTCCACAAAACTGTGACTTGCAAAGTAAGATGATGATAAAGATGTAGATCAGCTAATAGAAGATCCCAAGTTTTTAGCTACGTAAAAATTTTCAGAGAATTTGGAAAAGCTAAAAAAGACCAAGAACCTTTTCATAAAGTTACAGATATAATTTCATTAGAAAACCAAACACAACTAAAGTTTTTTAATGATATTATTTTAATTAAAAAATAAACTATGCCTATTTATTTGTATGTAAAATCTTTACAATATGCAGCCATCTTTAACAAATTCAATTTGAATTAGATGAAAAAATAAGTTTTACTTTTACAATTTACTTATAAAAGAAAACGAGATATTGCTAGGGCATTTTTTATAGGCAACAGAGAGAAATAGAAAAGTGGCAAGATTTGTTAAAGGTGGAAAACCTGCAAGACATGGAAATGCAGGATAGTTCCATTGAGTTCTGGCTTTTACAAGTTTCTACTGCATACTAAAAAAAACTTACATTAAATTTTTAACAGTCTAAAACAAAATAGAACATCGACTGAATTCTCTTAAATCTACAACAAATGATTATTATTATATTTAAAAATGATTTAGTTTACTTTTCTGCTTAAAATCACTTTTGTTGTTCCTTCTGGCACATCCAACACTAAATCTTGACACATCATCTTCTTAAAACTTTTTGTCTGAAGTGGATCTTGCTTTTCTAAACTGTAATTTTAAAAACAAAACATAAGCAATTAATTTGTCTGCAGACTGTTGAAAATTTAAAAAACACATGTATATTAAACCTTGAAAATGTGCCAGTAAATGACAAGTAAATAAAATTTCCATAAAATAATTTGTCTCCTTCGCCAAATACATTCATATTGTAAGTAGCAGTTGCTCCACCAGGTGCACAACAAGTAATCATTGGAGGAAGAGTTGGTTCATCCCAAGCATAAGGCACTTCGAATAAACATTTATAAATATAAATCAAATAAATTTTTAAAAATACACACACACACACATATATATATATATGTATGTATGTATATAAAATACTAAATAACTTACCACATGAACCTGGTCTTACAGATGTTTTTAGTCTTTCATCTATAATATTTGTTTGATAATAAATTATAGGAACTTCTGAATGATTATCAATTCGTAGAGGTGATGGCATATTTTCTGCATCAGAGAAGACAATAATGTATTTAGCACCTTGCAATATTATTTCTACTCTTAAGAAATGAGATTTCCCATGGCCATTCCTGTAAATTATTCAAATTAGCTATTTGTACTAATAAGTATGTACTACATGCATTAATAATCAAAAGTTACTATAAAATCAGCCACTTATCAATTACAGAAATAAAATATATGATAGTTAACTCATATTTTTCACTAAAGAAAGAAATTAAAACTCAAAGTAAACATATTTTTGTCCTGAAAGAAATCTAGGTACGGAATGTCTGGTATATTATGGAAGAAATCCTTCCATAATATACCAGACATTCCATTTTAGTTAATTTGATCCTAAACATTGTTAATTTTAATCACATATATTCACCACTTGATTTTGTTAATAAATAATAATAATAATTTACACTTCAAAATTTTTATTAACTACATTTATAATTTAAAATTCTAAGTCATTTACATTTAATTATGCAAAATAAATTTGTTACTTACCGCATATTAACGTGAAAAGAATTAATTTTATCTATTGAAAATCCACCCGACCACATGCAGTCTGGTACATCGGAAAGACGAACACAGAGTAAATTATCTAGATCGACACGGGGCCAGTGAAATGGCATGTGACAATTTGGAACTGCAGACATCACATATTGATGACTGAATTTTTTCTATAAAATATAAAAATTTGTAATTATATTAAATGAAATGCAAAATTCCAATTATATCAAAAATTTAGTGAAGAACATAAAAAAAGAATAAAATTAAATAAATAAATACTAAATATCAATCCTTACTAGATTTTCAACAGCAAATTTCTGAGAAAATTCCAATTTATAGCTACTTTTATTATCTAACTGATATCTTGGTGAAACTGTAACCATGTAAGTATCTCTGTAACGTCCTCTTCCCATTCTCACATCAATTCCAATTGTATAAACCCTGTTAATAATTAATTATTTTAATTTAAATAATTTGAATATAAATAAAAACAATCATTTTCTTTTTAAATAGTTACCAATCTGGTCTGGAATCTCTAGGTGTTACATGTAAATGACGAACTCTAATTCCTTTTTGTAAATTAAAACTGTTACACCATTGAGTTAGAGAATTCGGATGAAGTGATCGTCCTATTCTTATACTGCACCTGTAACAAAGTAAGCAATTTTTGTTAGAATTTATAATAAAATAATAAAATCGATGCTAAAGTCGTAACAGAAATATATACATGGCCGAGGCATCTTTATCTGCAAATGAGAACAGTAACGGCACTACACTTCTAGCCAATTCGTGTTCATCCGATTGTCCGGCAGCTTCTACTTGGGTTCCTTCTTGACGAAAAACCAATGGTAGACCAGAATTATTTATTAACCAATATGGCGATGAAATGTTTATCTAATAAAATAAAAACAATATAAAATCTCCAATTTAAGAATTTTTCTTACACATTAAATATAATAACATTTTACCTTCAAAGCACCACCATACAGAGGGATAACTCTTGCTTGCAGCATTAATAGTCGGTCTTGATTATCGTACATTAAAATTCGTGTTAAAAATTCACGAGAACAAGGCCTGACAATCAATTCATTACATTTTTGAAAATTTTCACAGGAAAATTCAAAAATCATTATTTCACTAACATCGACCTAAATTTGCAAGTAATTTGATTTAAAATACAAATTAATTTACTTAATAACTCAATTAATTTTAATAATAATTTATAATAAGTGTTATATTTAGAACTTACATTGTGTAAAGATGTATTATGACCAGGCTTGATATATCCCGATATACAAGATTCATTATCTTTCACAACAAAATGTAATTCATATGGAAGCAAATTAGTAATCTTTAGAGGAGGAAGTAAAAAAATTTTATGTCCTGGCTGATGAGATAATTGTCCCGAAGAAACAAATGACCTTTGGGAACTGTACGAAACGGTACTTTGTGGATTATCAGTCATGTAACGTTCTCGTTTTACACAAACACTGATCCTAATAACAAAAATAAATTATCATCATCATCATCATCATCAAATGAATAGATTAATTGAAGCATACCTATAATGTTTTTCATAAGAAACTGCAGATCTGCAAATATTCAATTCTCCACCAATATCTCCTGGTTTCACAATATGTTGCCAAACAATTGGATTACAACTATATACCACTGGTTTATCTACCGGTTTCAACCATATTTGGTTGTGTAAATATGGAAGTGGTACTGCTAATGTTGTATGAGACACAAGGTATAACGTTTGTTTTGGTACTAAAATAAAAGAAGAAATTATTTATATAATAATTATAATAATGTACTAAGTTTACCCAATAATTTCTGACATAATTTTAATTTTTGTTTGTTTTATTTTTTTTATACATACAGAATTGGATAATCTATTTATTTCTGGTTTAGCAAATCGAT